CATTTCCAAAAGTTTTTTCGCATATAAGACACATAGGAATAGTTTCATTTGTCGGTGAACAAATAAATCCAAATTTTAAGTAATCCAATGAATAATACCGACATTTCTTTTTAGATACTGAAGCTGTCATTTTTAAATTAGAGTTCTGTAATTAAGTTAAAATTAAGTTGGTATATTATACTAATCCACATTATTAAAGCTTACCTTTTCATAAGTAACAATAATTGAAATTGATATCAAAACGAAACGAATAGTTTTATAGAAACAATAACTAATTATCCAATGGTAGATATAATAGTAGTAATAATGACACTACAAGCATTTAATACTGTTCACAGTTCACAAAGATAGCTTGAAAATGCATATATTTGCTTTTGTAGCATCCAGTGTAGAATTGGATAAGCGCACATATGCATCTGACTCATATGCAAGGCTCGTATGGTTTGCGATGGAGACAAAGGGCGAACCAACGACACGAGGCGTAACTGCCGTATAAAAAAGAAGAAAAACTAAAACCACACACATAAGAAGAAAGAAAACAGAGTACTGAAGATTCCCTTCGCACTTAATGCATAGAAAGCCAACGGCAGTGTCGTCGCTCGCCAAATCTGCGCCAAAGGCTCCTAATTGGTTGATGGATTCGCCAGCAAGAGACACGGATAAGCCTCAATCGCTCTTCTGGCTACATACTATGAGTCGTGCAAATTACAAACTGGTCACAAGGTCAAGTTGTGACGTCACGGTAAACATACGAAAACCCATAAGGAGAAAAGGGGCAGATTGTTTTCTGATTTATTATTTTATTTTCTATGAAGAATATAATATTAAGTCAATTATAAAAATATTTTAAATTTTTACGTACGCAGTTAGATATGTGTGATTTGCGTATTAAGAACTGTTTATCCTTCGAGTCCCAATAGACCCCCATTCGACCCCTTGGGTCAGATAGACCCATACTGTTGTTAAATAGACCCCTAGGGGTCTATATAGACCACTTTGGCGACCCCTGCCTTAACCACTGGGCTACCGCGGCCATTTTTGTTCCGGAAAAGTAGTTAATATCAAAGGGTAAGAGTCTTATTTGTTTATATGTTTGTTAAGAAAATGATTTGAGACTATTTATTTTAAGCGAGCAGTATGTATAATTAATTTTACAATTGAATAACTTAATGGTACTTATAAGTACCGACAGTGCACAGGTTGTTGGAGAACTTCGTTTTTTTCGTCCGTGTAGCTTACTACTGTTTTTTATTATGTTGCAGCTTTATTCATACAGTGTAATAAAGTAATGCTTTTTTTGGCATTTCTTTTTAGTTTAAATTATTTATTTTACTTTTTTTATTTCTTTACTTTAACGTTTTTTTAAAAAAATCTTCAACTTAGAATCTGAGCTTGTTTTTCCGCCGCACAGTTATGTAAAATGTCTATTCCTTATTCAAAATTTATCATTTTAATTCCCTTGTGTGTAACTAAGATTTAACAATTAAAGGAGGTTTTCAAGGTGCTATTATTTTTCTCTCCTTTTACTAGATTGTCTGAAAAAGAGAAGTTCAATCTTCAAGAGGTTTTGGATTTATTACAGAACCTATTGTCTGAAAGCAATGAGGCATGAACAAATGATTCTTGAGATGAAGAAGTCCCGGCAAATAATCTGCTGGAATTTTCGTCAGATTCTGAAGAGCACGATAAAGATATTGAACAAGACCCAACGTGCAGTAGTTCATGTGTGTGTGTTCAGAAAATACTGTATTTCCTACCATAGGATGCAGTGTTTTAAAAAAGATTCAATCGAAACCTCATTCAAAATGCACAACGTGTAATGTATTTTTGCGTATTAATGAGGGAAAAAAAAACTGTTCCTTTGAATATCATCAAATTTAAGTTCATGTGTAAAATCTGTTTTTATGTGTAAAAAAGTAAATAACTTTGAAAATTTTATGGTTTTTAAAAATAATTTTTTGTGCTACAAAATATTAATGTTCTCTGGTTATTTATCATTTTTAAGAGTTAAAACAGCGTTAAAAAGTCAAACGATAATATCATGAGAATATTTTAGCCTTCCGTGTACTTTGAAGTATACCAATTCACGTAATTAGATAGAACGGATTAAACTTTCCGAAGCTGAATATATTATTTATGCATAATTTTCAACGTAGTGATTTAAAAAAATGTATTGCACGAAAAAATTGCAGCGTAACTTAATGCGGTAACTAAAGGGTTAAAATGGAGAAGACTATTTTTAAAAAGAGCAAATATAGATTCTTTTAAATATTTTTCTCTGCCTGAATTGATGTTTACATGGCTGTATTTCAAGAAATATTTTTTGAAAAAATGCTGTAGCTGCAGAAAAGAAAGCAATTGAAAAATATCAGTATAGAAAAAAAAAACCCGGTTTGTTTGGTTAATTACTCCTTTCAAAAACATGAAATAAATATACACTATATGCTTTCATAATATTTAAATTGTGCGGAAGAAATAAGATTGGATAATAAAACTTATAGAGATGTTAATGAAAATACAGTATTTCAATTTCATGGTTGTTAACAGGAATGGCTGTCTTGAATGATTTGCGGAATCTACATCAAATAAAGAATTAACACAAATGAAAACAATGGAAAAGAGAATTAGTTGAACTTTTAAATTTTAGAAATGCTTAGGTAAAGGTAGATGTAAAACAACTAAATTAAAACATTCAATGAAAGATAATGAAAAAAATATAGATATATTGATGAACGTTCACTATCCAACACTTTACATTTCTTTGAGGAATACCCTTAATATATTTTTATATGAATTTCTATCAACATGTGCCCTTTGCAGCTACACTAAGGGTACTGGGGACGAACCTAGCAATTTTGAGCCTCAATCAAGTGACGAACGACACCTAATTAAAGACTATCCTAAAAAACATTTTGTAAAGATTTGCAGTCAGGAGAAATATGAAAAAGGAGTGAGTGAGTGTTTATTAACATATCACTTTAAAGAAACACTCGTGCTGTTGGCGACGGACCTCGTAATTCTGAGCCACGATCAAGTGACAAGAACGACACCTCAGCTGGCACTACATTTTTTTAATTTCCATACTAAGCTTTTAATTCCCTTTTAATTTCCATACCATTTTTAAATTTCCATACAGCAGTTCTTCAGTGGCATCAAGTCTCGAATCCTTCATTCGACAACACCGTACAAAATTACCAGAATATTGGCTGTGGAAAGCGAGTCTTTATGACGTACATAATAGACAGCCGGTAAATATTTAATAAACAAATAAGACGAAATGAGACTCGAACCCATGACCATCTGTATATCCCTTCCTGCATCCTTGTATCCGTTGAACACTTGCGGAAAAATATTTTCATTAAGAACAAGCCTTTTTAATGTTGTTTATGCACCCCTTTTTAAGAGATGTTAATCTCAAGGGCACAAGCATCAATAACTAAATTGTTACCTTCTTTATACTTTAGGATTGATTTCTTAGAATGAAATGGATAAGAGGTGACCAATCCATATAAACTTGCAACATGACCTCATTCCGATGCCCCCCCCCCTCCAATCCCCGATCGAAAGGTGTTTAACACGCACATCTGGTCGCCATGACGACGCGTAAACAACAAACTCCCCTAATGAGTTCGCTCCACCGAAATCCCTGGAAGAGTTAAGAAAACTTTCCGAACAATTTTTCCCTTTTCCTCTCTTTGTTTCGCATGGCGACGATTCACTTTCCACGCGCTCCGGTGCTCCCTCAGGACAAATGCGGGATGTGGTAATGACCTGGGTAGGAGATCGTTTGCTTGCTCTGAGGATACACAATTGGTACTAACAGCAACAGGTGAGTCCGTTTTCCTATCATCTTCAAAGGTTAAAACTCTTTTAAAGTTTTGTTTAATTGTCGGAATAATTTAAAAGTGAGATTAGATGTTAGGACTTTTTAAGGAACTGGCAATCTAAAAATGAGTTTTTAATTGAAATAAAATTATAAAAAAATATTATAATAAAAAAATGTACAAATTTTTCTTCTTCAATTTATTAAATATAAGACTCGGTGTTTTTAATACTAAGTACAATTTTTTTTCGTTTCAGAAGTACTAAAAAAATGTAATTGATTTCAACATATACTTTTGAAAAAAGAATTATTTTGATGCCTAATAAATATTTTTAAAAAAATTCTTGAAATATTTTATTAATACAATCAATTCTATTCAAGAAGTTATTTTCTCTTCTATATTTTACTAATAAATAAATAAATAAATGTATTCTTTGTTTTGCATAGTCTCTTTATCTTATTCTGTTTTAGGGGGGGGGGGATGCTCCTGAGTAATTTGACAGTCAAGGGCAAGTGAAACAATTATTTTAATTTTAATTTTTTCTTAAATTCTTACAACCTCTACTAGTAAGATCCAATTCATCTATAATAATTCCTTTCTTCAGCTAGTAGCTGCATTGGCTTAGTAGTTACGGACACGAGCTCGAGGCTGGTGTATCATGAACTCGAACCTAGTAAGTGAAAACCCGACATGTAGGGGGTCGATTTAAGTTAAATCTATGGAGACTCAATGTCCTCCCATAGGTGTAGTAGTTAGGAAGGGGATGTGTGTTAACTCAAATGTCATCCTCGTCACTTGTCGGAGGCTGAAAATTATGAGGTCCATCGCCAATAGCTCTCATGTTGCTTTATAGTGCGACGTTGTAATAAATCCCTTACAAACAAACAAGTAAATTAAAAAATAATTAAGTCAATTCCTTCTTAGGTCAACAAATTTTTTTTTTATTTTAGTCATTTTATATTAAATAGTTACAATTAATATAAATATGCATATACATATCATAGAATCATAATATTAAATGACAAAATGGAAAGCGATTTTCCTTGCAATTTTCCATTTTCCTTTCTATATAGGGTATTCGACTATTTTTTTGTTACTATTTATTCCCTAATTAAGTTTAATTATTGTAACAAAATAGTACAGTAAAAAAATAAATCACATTCTCAGAAATAAGGCCATCCCAGGTGGGATTTGAACTCACGCCCTATGGATTAGAAGTCCAACGCACTGACCATTGCGCTACAGGAACACAACGAATAACTTTCCTGTATATATATGCTGTTGCACTATTATTTTTGTTTGTTACTATTTATTCCTTTTTTAATTTTATTTTATGAATAATATTTAGAAACTGTGTTAACATCAAGTGTAGCCCACCACAAGTTTAAAAAATTTATTTGAACTTGAAGGGAGGAATAGAAAGTATTTTATTAACTGTTGAAAATTGAATAAGATTATATATATATATATATATATATATATATATATATAGGGAGAGAACTAACAGTAGGAATCGAAAAACATATGCAAGTTCTGTTTTGCGTAGTGAATTCTCTTTTATATATATTCCATTGTAAGATAAAAAAAAAATGCTCTGGAGCAAGTTGAAGGTCGAGGCAAGAGGAACAATGAATTTAATTTAAATTCTTAGCAACGTCTCACTTCTAAGATCCGATACACAAACACAACTATGACTTCCCTACCTCAGCCAGAGGAAGAGAAGGGAACATCAAACTTTTAAATTCCGAATTCGGTTCATTTCGTCTATGATTCAGTTTCAAGATTTTATACTCTGCTCTGTCCTCTTAGATTTTATGTGTTTCTCTAAAGCGAAATTCTTTTTCCCTTCTACTGATACTTTAAGTAACTGAGATCCGCAGACGTGGTTCATTTCTCATTTTTTTGGAATGGTTCCGTTGTACTGCGTGACATTAGTAAAATCGACATTAAATGACCTATCCCTGTATAATATCCACTACTTTAGTTATTATGGCGTGAGCGTAAACATTAATTTCAACAAATTTAGTACTGCTTCATGTATATTCTAACTCTCCTTTCTATCAAACACTAAAAAATGGCTCCGCGAAGCCATTGGTTATTTGTTATATGTTGTTCACCTTTTTGAATTGCAATTTTTATGACCTTCAATGAATATAAATTTCAGGATACCGAATGCCACGCGTTTGGGTATTTCAATTTTTGCACTGCATGCGCACCTCTTCATGCGCACAAACTGTTTCTTTAATATACAATGACATAAGGATAGTTAACAAGAAATGAAGGGATCTTTTTGGGAAAAATTGTCATGTTCAAAACGTGAATAACTTGTGGTTGCCTTCTAATTATGTAATCTATGGTTCTTTTCTACTTGTCGAATCGTACTACTAGATCAAATAATAAACATTAAAAGGCTATACTAACTTTATTTATAATCAATTTGCATGAAAGATACTTAAACGTTTTCCGATTCATCAGATTTACTTAAATTATGAATATTCACACAAATGTAGTAAAGAGAAGTAGGTTTATTCTTAAACGGATTTCATTTTCATACAAATTTCAAGTAGGGTGATTTCCATTTCACCCAAAATTTTCTCTTTTTGTAGATCCAATTTTGAAGTTGAAACGATCTGGAACCACAGTCTTCAGCAGATAGCCTTATTAAATATGAAAAGGGGAGAAAGATAGCCTTACTCTTAGACAAAAGGAACTAATTTTGAGTTCAAGCGTCAAGAATGAATGTAGAATGCCTCCACTGCATAATACTAAAACCTTATCATATCTTTAACCTGCTCCCGAAAACATTTAACGAATTGTAGAATTTTCTATTAGAATGCTACTGAACTCCTTTCACTATGATTATTTACTGCTTCGTTATCATTTGTGAAAAGTTTTCGATGAACACAAAGATAATATTCAAATATTGTATAGATACAAACACATAACATAAAAGTAACAATGTTCCACATCTGGATAATGAAACCGAACAGACTCCTATCTTACTAATATAAACATAACGATTGACATTACCGACGGTGTCTATAGAAACCACGAATAGGCATGACATTTTGGTTCGGCGATAAACAAACATTACCGCCTTTGAGTGGGTTATTTTGGAAAAAGCTGAAAGTATTTCTGCAAAACTGTCTATCTCATACTTCTAAAAATGAGCCAGGATGATGTACTTCCTAAAATACTGAGGCTATATTCGTTTAATGTTCGAAAATAGACATCCAACGTTTATTTGCAGCTTTTTATTGATTCGTTGTTTATTAAAGTCACACCTTGTAATTCTAAGTTTCAGTCAAGTGACAAGAACAATATCTGAGAGAGCTGGTACTCCCTCTCTCCCATTTACAAGCTGCCTCAATGTGAGGAGTTTGAGTCTGTGCAGATTTGACGTGCATTGGCTCCTCTACGGCCGCAGTAGCCAAGTGGTCAAGGTATCGGATCATGGCTGACGTGTTATGAGTTCGAGCCCAGTACCACTGAAGACCCGTCGTGTATGAGAGCGATGCACGTTAAATCTGTCGAGAGCTCAAACGTCCTCCCTTTGGTGTGGTGTGGTAGTTAGGAAGGGGAGGTGCCAGCTCAGATGTCGTACACGTCACTTGACCATGGTTAAAAATTACGCATTCCGTCGCCAAAAGCCCTCGTGTAGCTGAACAGTGCGACGTTAATATTCACTCACTCACTCAGCTCCTCAACACAATGGGTCTTCAGTAGCATCAGGAAATAAAGCCAGCTACCAAATCATTATTGTATCCATTTAGAGACGTCAAATGTAAATTTAAATTATTATGAAACATTTTATTTTAATGAAAAATATTTAATGTGCCTGAAGCTTCTACTATTTTTTTAAGTAAAAGAAAATATGAAACATTTTTTTTAACATACACCCAACTTTATTTTTACATGATTTTAAAATAACACTATGTGCGCGTGTGTGTACACGAATTTAATGGGGTTTTTTTTACACAAATTTTTTGTTTTAGCACGAATCCCAAAAAAATTTTGGGTACTTTTTGGATAAGAACGATTTGATCGAGTTTCTGAGAGTTTCTGATAATAAAGAAGTCAATAATGACGAAGTCGAAGGTGAAGTTCAGCTTTTAACAGCTAATTTAAATTTGCTACCCGTAGGGATCAACATTTTCTTACTCATGATCCTGGCATAGAGTGTGGGTATTGAAATTTCAAAGTTATCTTAACTTTTTTATAGCAGGATACCAACAATTACAGTGAAAAAGTTGAGAAACCGAAAGAAATACCGCTAATAACAGAGTTCCGTAACAATAACAACAACAACAAACCAAGTTCTCAATAATGAACGAAATTCATTTGAATCAAAACCGATAATTGTGCTAGACATATCTGACGCAACTACCGATGAAAATATTTTTGATCCAATTCGTAATAAACGTGCACGCTTGCCATCAAATAGCGATGAATATTTGTTAGTTTATAATTTTATTCCTAATTGCAATTTGAATTTTTATATGTTGTGTGTACTTATAGACTAAATTTTCACTGTACACCAAATTTAATTTTTTTTTCGTAATAAAAATGAACTGTTTTTAGTTTGTCAATATATATAACGTGGATTTCCTTATTATTTCTTTTGCAATGTTTTATGGGAAAATACTTAGAAATTTTTCATCCTACATGAATTTTTGAAATTGTGGAACATATCCCCAAATTTACCATGCGTCGCAAGTATTTTTTACACGATTATTTTGCACATTTTTCTAATAAGCATATCTACAATGTAAAAATGGGTGTATTTACTGAAAAATATAATTACTTTTCATTATTTACGACCTCTTTCCAGCGTAATTACCTTAAATAAAAGAATACCGTTAAAAGATCAATACATTGAATTTTTTAAACCTGACGAAAAATTCGATTCGGTAGTCATTTGATTATTTGAAATAATACAACAAAAAAATAATAAGGTAATGAAATATATTGTACGCTAGCTGAAAAAATACGGCTTTTTCTTTACGATGATGAAATTAGAATCAATGACGTTAATTTTGAAAAAAATTGTTATGCCTATAAAAGTAGTTACAGTTTGATTTCTGTTTAAAGAGAATATGATATTCATGGTAAAAAAGAATCAGGACTATACGTTTCAATAAATGTTTTGTATTTTTATAAACATTTTTTCTATGTGATTAAGATATTTTATTTATTAGAAAAGTGACACTTTGTTTAATAATTATTGACCTTTTGCAATGCTTTCTCATTTTTATAATAAAAGGTTTTTAGAATAAATATTAAATTAGAATATTGTCAGATTTTGTAGAAATTGTCTAAGAACTTCTACAGTTGCAAATTTAAGAAATGAACGCATGCAGTAGCGCACACAAAATTTTTTCAAGGGGGGAGTCTATGGTCGAAAGTTCCCCAACTCGTATAATACCTCAAGACAACACCAATTGATTCTTCTGATTATGTCGATTTTGTTAACAAAAAACAGTAAAAAATAAATTATTGAATTAATAATTAGCATTAATTAATAAAATAAATTGTTAATTACAAGTACTTAATTGAATTTTACGTTATATATATATGTATAGGATTATCATCAATCGAAAAAAAACTCAAGGGCTTTGGGGGATGTCCGGACCCCTCCCCCTTGTGTGCGCACCTAAATGCATGTGTACCACTTTCCTGGGTGAAATGTTAAAATTCAAGCAATTATAGAGTTTATAACTGTTTGATTGAATTATATATAAATGGATTTAAATAATCTTCGTGTTTCATAAAAGAGTTTATTAACTAAACGAAAATACTTCCGAAAAAAGTTTGAAAAATAGAGATATCCATTTTATTACGATTTTATGTAAATTAGCATATTTTTTAGCATTTTCAACTTCGAAGTTATTTATTTCCGATAACGCTTCATAAATATTTATTACCTTAACGTGCATTAATGGCAAACTCAATGTCAGTCGCATTCATTCAATATGTATGAAATGGCGTTATGAAAATTGTTATTATTTGGTGACATATTATCAAAGTATTTGTCATGCAGATGATCCTCGTTTATGGTTTTTGCACCGTATGATCTCTTTCTGTTATAGATATATGTAACTAAAAATCAATAAAAAGAGTCCAGTTTTAAAGTAGAATACTGATGCGATGATTTTTATTATGAGGGGGGGGGGAGTTTTAAGCATTTTTTTTTTAAAGATAAACAAGGATGTTAGACCTACATTCAAGTCAAAACTCGACTATAAGTAT